TCAGATTTCATCTGTCCTGTGAGCTGTTACCGCTTATGGTTTGTGAAACTACATCATCCAGCTTGTTCTGTCTTTATGGGGCCATCTCCAAATGCTTGACATTCCTACATACTAACCAATGAGAAACATAGTTGTCTCTGTGTTATCATTGCTGAAACTCATATTGTGTTACCAGCGTCTCTCTTTTTCCTTCACTACTTTGCATGTCACATAAGTATTTCCCTTTGTCAGCCAATTTATCTGATTAACCTGAACTGATGAATGCATGGCCTCTGTGATCTGAACATGCAACCTTCTGATCTGGAGTCAGACATGCGTCTGTTGTGCCACAAGGACTTGATAGTGCACCAGACATTTGAGAAGTACATCTGCACCTGTGAGAACAGCAGCCCTTGTAGGAGATAATGTAGCCTTCATAAAACACACACAGGTACATGCGCTCTCTTACTCATACACATTATTTCCCAGCCCCAGTTTTATTTGTATAGCACCAAAGCCCAACAAAAGTCATCTCAGGACATTTTACATAGTAAGGTATAGACATTACAATTCTTCTTCTTCTTCTTATTATTATTATTAATAATAATCCCCGTGGCAGTGGGGAGGAAAAACTCCTTTTAACAGAAGAAACCTCCAGCTCTTGATGGGCGGCCTTCTGCCACAGTCAATTGGGGTGCGTGGATAGTGGAGAGAGAAAAGAAAAGAAAAGCAATAAGACACAACAAACACAACAGCACTCAAACACTGGGTAAGTTGATGTGGCCAGCGACTGCTCATCAGAAACATAGAGCTCCAGAGCCAGGGCTACCTGCAGAAATGTACAGGGAGAGAGGAGACACAAAGTTAGTGACATGTAGTGGTGGCATCTAGATGCATGGAGAGGTTTAATTAGGTTCTTATGAATAACTCCTCTTGAGTTGATTTTTGATTTATATAATTTAGGTGATTGAGGGGCAGACACAGTCTCTATGGGGTACTGGAAGTCTTGGGTGGGTAGCAGCTGCAAAGAGACTGCAGAGAGGTGTATAAGACTGCAGTCCTGCGTCCTGGTCTCAACTCTGGGTTGTCATAATTTAGGTTGTAACATAAACTCTATGAGAGCCACACCATCCAAAGTGGGATGGATGCCCTCCCCAGCTTCCTCCAGGGCACCAGTCTTTGTGTGGTCTTTGACAGGAACAGGCAGTCCACTCTGCTACAAAGACATAGATAATGGGGTGAAGAGAGCTATTGTCTAGGCTTGTGTCACAAGTGTGTGTGTGTGTGAGTGTTTGTGTGTGCCTGTGTGTGTTACACAGAGAACAACTGCCACTCTGCCTTTTACAGTGGATCATATAAGCAGATATCTGAGCAGTAGGGGTGGCACTATGTTGCTCAGTCACTGTATGCATGAATGAGAAAAGTGACTACACAGGTCATATGGGCAGGAGCTAAAAAAAACAGCAGACAATACCCCCTGCATACACACTCATATCTGCTGTGCTGAATACAATAAACCTCTTTTTACCTCCAGATCTGTTCAGTGTCAACACAGCAGGGATAATTCTGTTATTCCAGCAGAGCATGTTTTTTTAAGTTCAATCTTCTGTTGCATTTGCTACATTTTGACACATGCAACCACATCTCTCACTGACATACTGCACCCCCTGTGAACCAGGAGCCTGTACCATTATCCAACTAATTCTGGTTAACTTGGTGTTATCTGGCTTCACTGAGCCTAACATTGGTCTTCCCAGACACAGTAACTGGTACAGTGCTGCAAAGCCTGTTACCAACTGGCCCAGCTGGGTTTTCCTATTAGTCTGTGAGCTTGTTCATGTGAAAGAGGTGGACTTGCTAATTAGAAGCAACACTGCCCGGAACAATGAATGAAGTGCTTTGTGTAACCTGAGATGGAGCAGGGATACCTGTGGGGAAATGTGTTTATAGTCAGGGCAAAATGTAGGTGAACTGTGAACTAGATGGGAGGACAGTGGAGAGGACTTACACCTAAAGTCAGTCTCAGTGCTGCTTTGTTAGGAACTGCTTTAACCCTTCTGTCATTATGGACAAGGATAGTCTTAGGTCTTTTCAAACTACACTGTAGGCTATTTATGAGACTTGGCTGCACTTAGGCAACAGTATAGACATGTTACATGGATGTGATATGGGTTTTATTCCTCTAACGCACAAGAGGTTTCCACTGAAGAAGTTTCTGAAAATCTGCAGCAATGTTAAAAAAGAAGAAGCTTTATTGTAACACATACAATGAAATTATGTTTGGAGCTGAGGGCCACGGGCTACTGCGTGCATACGCGCTGCCATCACAGGCAGTGGGGGGGTTCAGTGTCTTGCCCAAGGAAACTTCGACATATGCACTGCAAGCATCGAGATTTGAACCTTCAACCTTCTGGTTGGAGACGGCTGCTCTACCCACCACACCACTGTCGCCTCCCCAAAAGTAGCTCTTTCTTTTTTTTGGTTGATGCACATGTTCTATTGTGCAGCACTTTGTGCTCCCCGGAGTTGTAAAGTGCTATATAAATAAAGCTTTATTATTATTATTATTATTATTATTCTGGAAGGACTTTGATGATGGAAGATGCAAATTGGTTTTGGAAAATTGCCTGTTCACTTTTTGCTTAAGGCAGTTCAGAGAAGTTCTCTTTAACATAATTTCAGCCTTGTTTTTGGAGAAGTGTGAAATCTTTATTATACATTTCAATAAATATGCACGAGGGCAAAGTAAGCTTTGTCTTCTTCTGTTTCCTGAAAGACCCTCTCCCAATATGCATTGCTCATTAATGCCTTAAATCAGTTACATAGTTAAGAAATGTCAGAAACCTATAAAACTGTGCAAGAGCCAATCTTGCATAACGTTGATCAGCAAATATGCTGCTTAGCTGCTGAGTCTGCTAATGCTTTATGAGCTCTACTGCTGTTCTCCACATGTGCTGTAACTGTTCATAATTCAGTGCTACAAATGTATCTGTTTCAAGGATCTGATACTCTGCTTCTCTTCAGTCCATTTGTACTGGTTTTCAAACTACACTTTCAATATTTGATTAAGCCTATATGTGTTCAAAGGTGTTAAATGTGATGACACACTTTAGGCTCCTACAATGCTACCAAACTCATTGGATTTCAATGTTAGCAAACATGCACTAAAGTTATTGATTTAAGTCCCGTTATGTATGACTGTAAAGTTTTTTGTGAGTGGAATTGCTAACTGTAACTTCCTAGGAGGTCTTAGTAATAACTCCATGTGCCTAGCAGGGGGAAAAGACCATTCAGCTGTGTGTGTATCAGTTAAGACCTTAGTATTTACAAGGACGTACTCAGAAATGATCCATCAGAATCCCAGTCAGTGATGGATTCTCTGGTAATATTCCCATAATGAGGTCTCTTAAACAGAATTCTTAAGCATTACTTTTGGCTTGCAAGAGGCAAAGAGACCATTTACATGGGGTTTTTACAGAGTAAATTCAAATCTAAACAGTCTTTGTCAAATCAGAGACTTTCATTCTATGCCAAGTGTGTTTCTGGGTTTAGATTTTGTGGCTGAGCTTCTTTCAGAATCATGTTTGTTTCTCATAATCCATGTAAGGAACAAGTCTGGTGAAGATTTTTTTGTGTGTCAACATTTGAAAATGTAAAATTTATTTAATACTGAGGGTCAGTTTGTGATTTGTAATGACCTCTTTTTAATGTAAATGTCTGTTGTAAATGTTTTTTTTTTTTTGCATGTGTAGTGGTTTGAGTGTAGCTTCTGGAAAATAATTTACATGTTCTCTCAGGTTGGACTGCTTTCATTGTTCTGTAAATTCAGGAGGTGCCCTAATTAATACAACTACTACTGACACTACAAGTCTCTGTTTCCGTTTCTGTTTTCTTGTCTTGTCTTTTGGAAAGGTCACTTATAAACTTGTGTCTTTTCCTCCTAACAATCCCAGAAGGAAGGAAGAATACCCCCACAGTCATTTCCCATATGATCTGGACCAGGTGAACCTCAAAAAGTTCAGTACAGTAGTGCAGTGCATAGGCACTTACACAGACCTGAAGACAGCTCAGTTTGGAGGAGAAAATGTAAAGGAAAAAGACAGTGAAGGAAATATAGTGAGAAGTAATTACAGACAAAAGAGTGAAGAGATTCTTTCCCAACATGGTGTGTGGTTTCTCTTTACACTCATGTCTGACTGGGCCATTCTGTCTCAGTACTTGTAGGCTATGAGCCTTCAAGTCTTAGGAGGGTAGGGAGGAAAGAGCAGGAGAAATAGACGGAATGAGACTTCTTATTGGTGAAAAATATTCTGTTATAGCAGTGCTTCTGTAGCTTCTGAACCTTGTCTTATAAGGGGTGAATGAATGAATGAATAAATAAACAAACTGCACATCTGTCCTATGAATATACTGGTGCAATACTATGAAAGTAATATTCTGTATATGACATATGGACATGTAATTACACATCTCAGACTATTTATATAAACTGCATCTAAGTCAGTGAGGCACAAATTGTGAACTGTACACTGTCTGATGCAGCATTAAATACTGTAAAAGAAGTGTATCACGTCTGTGGCCAAAGCACTGCACTACATGCTCCACCTGAATATATTACATATCCATGGATGATATTCATATCCTGATACAAAAAGGCACATTTAAAAACTAAATATCTAGTGATAAGAGATGCAAAAATGCCACCTGCCTGTTTCACATCTATTCCTTCTTCTACCCCCACATGAAGAAGCTTTGAGACATGCTCATTTTGCAGACCAGTCAACATGAGATTAAAATATTTCATATTATAACGTCAATCCATAACCACGTCATAGCTTCTGCGTGCCAGCTGACTGAATCATTAGATGATCATTATATGAGACCTAAGATGATAATTCCTTTGCCCTAGCATTGCTTACAGTGTGTGTTGTATGGCTTTAAGGCTACAAATCCTGAGTCTGTGTTGCAAATAAAGCTGAGCTTACTACTGAACTAATACTTTTTGTCCCCTTTCCTTCCAGGACTCTAACTACTGGGTCCAGGTCCACAGGTTGGAACATGGGGATGGAGGCATTTTGGACCTGGAGGACATGCTGTGTGATGTGGTGGATGACAAAGACAGGGTGAGTCAAAGTCGATGTGTAATCGAGATTACAGGAGCATGTGCAGGCAAGGTCAAGGTCAAAGGTCAAAGTGTTTATTTGTCATATGCACAGTTAGTAAAGGCATTTCCTTGTACAATGAAATTCTTACTTTGCCATCCACATGGATGCCACATAATACAAGTGAAATGTAAAGTAGATGAGCAATAACACAAATCTAAATAGGCAGTAAAATCACAAATCTAAGGCACTTTAAAGCAGCAAGTGAAGGAGCAAATAAAAATGCAACAAGAACACAATATTATGCAGAGAGAATATATGCTACGTGCGAGCTGTGGGGTGTAAATAGTCAGCAGTGAGTGTGCAATTATGCATGTGCAAAATGAGTATGTAAACAGTACAAATGGAATTACATGAGGTAGAGCCTGAGTCAGGTGTTTAGGAGTCTGATGGCAGAGGGAAAGAAAGAGTTTTTCAGTCTAGAGGTCCTGCATCTCATATTTCTCAGCCTCCGACTGGAGGGCAGGGGTATAAACAGTCTGTGCTGGGGGTCGGTGGGCTCCTTGAGGATGGAGGCAGCTTTCCTACACACCCTGCGGTGGCAAATGCTCTGCAGAGAGAGTAGTGGAGTCCTGGTGATCTTCTCAACAGTCTT